CTGCCCCCCCCCCCTCGCTCATGCACAGCCGTCCCACCCCTCCCTGCCTGCCCCCGCCCGCTCGCTCACGCGTCCAGAGAGGCGCGGTCTGCCAGTGGTGGTTGTCATGGGTAAAGCACGTGAGGCCTGGCATGCTGCACGTGTCGTTGTTCTGCAGCCGCTTGAGCAGCTTTCGAAGTTTCTTCTTGCGTTTCTGCTCCCGCAACAGCCATACCTTGTCCTTCTCCTGCAGACCTTTCCTGGGGGCACAGAGGACCACACACACTTCGGACCCAGCTCTGTGGCCCACCCTAGTGGTCGCGCCACAGAGCCCCACTGTTGACCCCAGGGCCTTCCTCCTCCTATAGCCTCCTTCAGGGCCCCTGCAGCGCGGAAGGGCAAAGTAAGGTTGGGGTCCCTGCTCACAGCCTGTGTCCTCCTTCCCAGCGCTTAGTGTGGCTACAACACCATAGCCAGCCTCCAGCCACAGTGGGGACTCCAGAGGTCTTTCTCAAACTGCACAGATGTCACCTCCCGGGGGAAACCCGGCCGGCCAGTCATCTTTCTTTTTCCTTGTTGGTTTTAGCTGCAGGCAGGTAGCCATCTTTGGGAGCCACGCACCATATCCCTGTGGCTTATCCCGACCCTTACCTGAAAGGGTGCAGACTGGAGCCTTTGTGCTTGAGGCGGCCTTTGTGTTGGGTGTGGTAACTGCAACACATCCCCCCAAACAAACAAACAAACAAACAACCCAGGAGTGAGAGCCCTGCAGGACACCCTGGCAGGTATGCACTGGGTTCCTGGGCTCCCATATGTCACTGATGTTGTCACTATTCTCTTGTGTAGCGAGACTACACTCTCCTGGATGCCAGCTCCATGCGTGGCTTGGATGCCACAGGTAGACCGGAAGCTGGGCCTGGCCTCAGGAGGTCTCTCAGCCTTGACCTCAGGAGGTTGCTGCCTCTCTTGTCCCATACCGAAGGCTGAGAAGGGGACCTCAGGAACCTGAGTTTTCCAAGGTCTAAGTCAAGGTTCAGAACCATGTGCCTACTCCAGTTTAAATCAAGCAAAATTCTCCAAAAAAAAAAATTGCTGGGGGTGGGTGATGGCAGAGGTGGCACACGCCTTTAATCCCAGCGTTCTGGAGTCCGAGGCAGGCAGATTGCCGAGTTCGAGGCCAGCCTGATCTACAGAGCAAGTTCCAGGACAGCCTGATCTACACAGAGAAACCCTGTCTTGAAAAACCAAAAATAAATAAAATAAATAAAGCACAATTCTGGCATCCTGTTCCACAGTCATATGTGTTATTTGACTGCCACACTGAACAGTGACTACAGATAGGATCCATTTCTTTCCATGTGGGAAGTTCTCGGGCAGCCGGAACTAGCACGGACCCCGAGTCCCTCAGCCCAGCAGTTCCCTGATGGAGCAGTAAGCAGTGTGGGTCCCTGCCTGAGCCAGCTTTGCGAGGAAGGCCCTGCCTCCTGGTAGAGCTGCAGCTTAGCCTGGCCACCTGAGGGGCGGCCCATGAGCCACAGAGTTCTTACTGACTCCTTCATCCTGACAAGCGGAGATGCAATTCAAAAGCAAGGAACAGGGCCAGTAATGGGAGGGGAGTGTGTGTCTGCAGGACTGGTCTGCAGGGATCGAGTGGGTCCTGTGCTCCGCCCCCCCCTCCCCCGCTCCTCCGAGTGGGTCCTGTGCTCCGCCCCCCCCTCCCCCGCTCCTCCCCCTCCCACACACACCTGATTTTATGGCAGTCACATTCTTCTGGCCGCTTCTTCTTCAGGTGACCTCTGACTTCCCGCAGGTTCTTAATTTTGTTCTGTAGGGTTTCAATCTGAGGGAGGGGACAGAAGGAGCTAGAAATCACAGGACAACGGTGGATGGCAAGGGTCCACAGCCATGCCTACATCTGTGGTTCTGCCCATGGAAGAGGGCTTCCCTTTCCCCTCAGCTAGGATCCCCTGAAGGACCAGAGTCCTACTGTCCCAAGGGACAGCCAGCAGAGCCCTCCAAGGCTAGAAAGGGCGAACTCCATCCAAAGCATCTTGTGTGTCTAAAGTACGATAGACTGTTGTCCTCAGCCAGCTGACTCTGGGTTGAACCTGTCAGGTTCTAGGACTCGGATTCCTGTTCTGGGGTCATGGGTTCTGGGATGGGGACCACTCTTCTTCCCCCCGGCCAGTCTCCCTGCCCTCCTGATGGATGCTGCCCCAGAGCCTGTGGCACCAGACTGTGCTGCCCCCAAGTGGCCGAACCTCATGGTCAATGTGCAGTTTGTGGTCTTTCCAAGCCTGCAGAGACTTGTACAGGTCCAAGTCACACTGGACCGTGTCGTTCTCCAGGATGTAGCACCTGCTCAAGAGGAGGGGTCGTGAGTGGCCCTGAGGTGAAGAGGGGCCCGGCCTGCCCCTATGTCCCCACCTGGACTCTCACCGATGGGTCACTTTGATGGGATTGGGGGCGGAATAGTCCGGAAGACCCCCGGTACCACTGAAGCTGCCACCATCCTTGTCGTCCTGGTCTTCTGGGGCCCCTGGCCAGTGCCGCTTGGTAAGGTTCCGGGGTGGGGGCACGTTATCCAAGCCTACGTGGTAGACCTCACCGTCCACCTCGATGGCCACAGAACGGACGGAACGGTTCCGGGCATAGCTGGCCTTGTACTCTGTGGGCGGCAGAGGGGATGACAGGTTAGAGAGGCTGGGACGGCCTCGCCAGGTATTCCTGGCCATGGGTCTTCAACTGAGACAGGGATGAGACCCCAAGCATGAGTCTCTGTTGCCTGACGCGTGGGCTTGGGAGATCTATCTCTGGAAGTAGGGCCCGGGTCCTGGGGAGGTAGTTACACCAGGCAGCCTGAGCAACAGTGACTGGACAGTTTCAGGAGAGCTGGTGAGATGGCTTTTCGGATCAAGATACTTTCACCTGGGGCCGACATCTGAGTTTCATCCCCTCAGCCCAAGTGGTAAAAGGAGAAAATGAACCCCGGCAAGATGTCCCCCAACCTCCTCCTGTGGGTCACAGGTGGATTTGGGGAGCAGGTGAGTCTGCCAGTGTGGACTCCGAAAGCAGACTGTCAGCATGGTTCTGATGGCTTGTCCCTCACGTCACACCCAGACCTGACCACTGCCTCCTCTGACGCTAAGGCCTGTCCATGCCGCCTGGCTTCTTGTCGGGCCACAACTGTCCGTCTGCTTCTGTCACCTTTGGAATGGGCATTTGAGGGAGACTTCAGAACATTAAGTTGACCTTATCTCTGTCCTCTCCAGACCACAGGGTTCCATCCGGAAGGAGACACCGGGCCTAGAGTGTCCGGCTGGCCCCACATGCGTGGCCTTGGTCCCTGTCTACACTTCTGGCCTCCTCGTGGCCTGTCCTGTCACCACCGCCCTCTTGAATGGCGGCTCCTGAGAGATCTGGCTGCTCCTAGGACACACCTAGGCTTGGAGACAAGTGTCTGTGGAATTGTTTGAAAGTTCACACGGCCTGGGCCCTGACTGCTCCGCCTGCCTAGTTTGGCCAGGCCTGTGACACTTACTTTTCTTAAAGAGTTTGCGGCGTCCGGCCAGGCCCAGTTTGTAGTCCCCGCCGCCACCGCCGCCGTCACAGCTGCAGGCCTCACCGCTCTGCCCGTAGTACTTGGGCACCAGGTTGGAGAGGGCTCTGCCGCCACCACCACCGCCACCAAACCGCACGGGGCCCTTGCACTTGTGCAGCTTCAGCGTCCCGGAAGCGTCTTCCACACACTGCCACTTCTGGGGGACACACGGCCGGGCTTCAGGCACCGGGGCTCCTGCCCTCTAGCTTGCCACACCCCCCTCCCCGCTCCCTGCCCTTGCTCAGTCTGGCAAAGGCCATATCCTTGCCATGTCTCAGTGCCTGCTCCTCTCTCCTGTCTGCACAGAGCTGGATCAGCCAGCAAGACGACAGTCCTGGTGTCTCCCTAAAGCGATGGTGGCCCTCTGTCACGGTCATCTTACTCCTGCTTCAAACTTCCCGAGGCCTGATCTTTAGGACCCACGACAGTACTCCTGGTATAGACTGCCCTGCCTTCTCCTTGGGTCTCCTTCCTGCCTTCTCCTTGGGTCTCCTTCCTGCCTTCTCCTTGGGTCTCCTTCCTGCCTTCTCCTTGGGTCTCCCGTAGCCCCACGCTTTCTTCCAGTCCCCGTGTGTACTCGCTTCAGCGAAACCCAAACTACAGCGTGGAGGTGTGTCAGGAGCTCCACTTCCAGAGAAAGCACAGAGAGGTAGGGACCCTTGCCCCAGGTCACACGGCTGGGGGGAGGGGACCCGCACTGTGATACTCAGCCCCGTGACCTGGACTGCTCTCAAGGTCTTGTTCACCCTGTCCTCTCACTTGCAGCCCGAGTTGAGCATGTCACAGCTTCCTGCTGTCCTCACACCCCTTGAGGGGGGCCGGGGGAGCCCCGCTTCTGCTTGATCTACAGGCCCATGGGCCCCCCCTCCTCACTCCTTCCTTTCTGTCTCCTGACCCTCTGAGGCCCAGGGAACTGTCCCCTCCCCACAGCCCACCTGGGAAAAGCCTCCTCTGGGCTCTCTGGACACCAGGCCTTGCTTTTCCTGGATACCACCTGGATTACACGTTTTCTTAGTGCTTCTCTCGAAATCAATGTTCTTTAAAAAAAGACATCTTGAAAGCTATTACCTAATTTCCGCAAATGGAAAGAGCCATGCAGAGGACACCATAGAAGTCAGGCAACGCTGTTCGCCGCCTGAGCCTGCCTACTGGTCCTTTCCCTCATGAGGAGCTCAAGGCCACACACCCAGAGGACACTGTGACTCCGACAGGGACCAAAGCCTCCCATGTAACCAAGGAAGCGCACCCCGGAGGCCCTGGAGGCTGCGGGCCACCTCCTCACCTGGCCCAGCTGCTCGCATGCTGTCTGGTACTCGGCGCGCTGACACAGGTCCTTCACGCGCTGGTACTTGGGCAGGAAGTTCTCCTCCTGGGCATCCACTCTGTCACCCTCCCTCTTGTGGAGCAGTTTGCTGAGGGAGAT